GGCCGGCCCGGAGCAGCCCATCGTTGTTTGGAAGTGTACAGTAGTGCAGTGTTACCGATGTAACTTTGACTTACGATGTTGACATGTCTCAGGTTCATGTGTTTTGATTGGTGTTTTTCCGTCTCAGGTAGATTGCAAAGTTTCGGCCCCACACATTGGAAGAGGAAACAAAACGAAACAAAACAAAAAAAAAACCAGGATAAAAAAACCAGGAAATTACGAATTTTAGTTGTATATTGGTTTATGTATTTTTTCTTCAGTATACAGTGCACTGTTTGAAATGTATTGTTGAGTATTACTTTGTACAGCTTTAGATCATTAGGATTTGGGAGCGTGAAGAAAGAACAACCTTGTCTAAGGGAGTGTCGCACATGAAGGACGCGGAGCCAATGCTCCACAACCTTGTTCTTTATTCACCGGCCTTTTTCTTTCCTCCCCTTAGGCCAGTTCTGTTTTAAGGTGTCCATGGAAGATGTTACAATGTAAGGAAATACATATCCATCTGTTCCCATCCACATTTTGTATTGGTTCATGTATACCATTTTTACAAAGGAAAAGAAGTACTATAAAATATCTGTCTTCTTAATAAAAAAAGATTAATGTTACAAAACTCAACCTCCTTTTGCGCTCTTTGTCCTTGCGGAGCCGCCCTCCCCCGGGGCGGCGATGCTGCGTCTTCTGACGCTGTTTATCCTGCGGTGCTGTTTATTTAAGGAGAAAATTGACCCGGAAGTGGTCCCACCATCTCTGAGCCGCTGTGGGCACACAGTCTTAATAGCAAGCATTTAAATCCCGTCGTGGATGAGCGTTGAAATGTGTGACCTCCTGCGCCCGCTCCTGTCCCCAGGTCGGTTCTGGTCGCTGTCAGGTTTCCTGCTGTCCCCCTTTATTTGAGAAACAGCGGTTTTTTTAGGGGAGTCGTGACGCTGAGGAAAAACCCATAGGGCAAACCAGAAGCAGCAGCTGTTCTTCTCCTCCTGTCAAACAGATAAGACGTGGTTACCTCTGGTAGTTAAGATGTGCAACTCGTTTGGTCCAGACTGCGCAATTCTTCTGTTAGGTAAGTGACACAAGTCTTTATGTTTGTTTTTTAACCAAGTAGGTTAAAAAGAGGACATGTTTTAGCTGAGGAAACAATTCCGACACGATCACCGCTTTGTTCTGCCAGGCTGACGGTGCTGCCAGTCCGGGGTTGGAGGCTCACGTGTGTAGTTGGTGACAAACACACAGTGAGGATTTGAGCCCGGAGGGAAGCGGCGATGCTGGGCGCAGCCCCGCTCTGCAAGGACCCGCACACACCCGGGCTCTGGCAGATGGGTGCAAGCAGGGGCTGAGGGCACAGCCCAGTTCCCATACCTGGGGCTGGACCCAGCTCTGCTCCAGCCTCTGGTGCTCCCATGGGCTGCTGGTGATCTCTGCCGCATGCGTCACCCTCGTCGGCACTTAAACCAACGCTGCTTTATCTGGTGGCGTCATTTCTAAAAAAGCAATGCTCAGGCTGGTAGTCTAGCATCTGAATTAGTGTAACCGAGAAAGTTATTCCAGCCTAATGGCCAGTACAAGTTTAAACACCTTGCCCCATCTGGGCAGCCCCAGCACGGTTTGGGGGAACCCTGAGCCCCTGCTCCCGCCAGCATCGCCCCGATGCCACCGAGGGTCTCTGTGCCCTTTGGCACTTTGCGGGGCTGGGGTCTGTCCTTTCTGTGTTGGCTCTCTGTGGGGTGAGGAGCGTTTCAGTGCAAAGGGGAAAGGAGTCCCCGGTGTTTGGGAAGACCCCGAGATGCAGAGTGCAGCATTTGCTGTGCTCCGTGCCGCCTCGGCTGCTCTCTGCAGATCCTGCGTCCCCTGAGCGGCTTAAACCAAGGTTTCCGTCATGTCCCGACAGTGACAGCGCTGGGTGAGTGACGTCCCCTTCCCATCAGCAGTCGGTATTTGGGGTGCAGAGCTGTTGCTGGGTGCAGCACCCCTCAGCCCCACTCCCATGCCTGCTCTCCTTGCGGTGACGAGTGGCACCAGCCCGGAGCGGGCACACATGAATCGAGCGAGCGGGAGACGTGAAGGCTGCGGGATCGAAGGCGATGTTTGATCAGACGCCCTCCTCTGTGCCCCCCCGGGCTGGTCCCTCGCTGCCTCCCCGCACCACAACCCTGCTCCCCGCTCGGCAGCGGCTCCTGGAGCTCCCAATGCAACGGAGCAGGGGATCCGCAGCCGTCGGCTCTCACACGCCTGCCTTCCTCCTCATCCTCTCCATGTCCATCCCCTCTCTGCTGTATTCCTACACCGTGGTCAGGTTTTTGCTCTCTCCCCAGGTAGTGCCCGCTCCCTTTGGGACAGGAGGTGCTGCCCATTGCCCCCTCGCTGCGGCAAAAGCTTCACCCCTTTCTGCAGCCGTGCCCATTCGTGCTCTGCTCTTCCACACTTCCCAGGCCAGACCCTGGCCCCACACATTGTCCTAGAGCCCCTTTAACAAGTCAGAGCCGTGAGTCAAGTGTGAGGCTTCGCACACCCCGCGATGATTTTTCGTCTCTTCCCCTCGTTGCTGTGAGCAGGAGCACGGGGCCTGGCGCTGTTTGTGACTGAGGGAAAGTGTACGTGGCCTTGATTGCAAATGAAAAATTAAGGCCCCGTGTCTGGCATTCATTGCCACTTGATTACACACCAGTGCGTAAACAAATCCTCACCCCGTTGCCGGAGGGGTGTCAATGATCTACCTCGTCTCTCGCTCGCTGCTCCTCCAGCAAATCTATAACACATTTAATCTTCGCCAGCCGCTCTCCTCACTTTTTAAATGTCTCATTTGCTGCCGAGCACGGCTCCAGTTCTCTCTGTGCTGCTGCTCTGACTCCTGCTTGTGTCTGTGTGGGTGGGAGCCGGGGTGCCCCGACCCTTGGGGGCCGAGGCTTTGCCCACCCAAGTCATGCTGTGGTTGTGGGGCTGTTTTCCAGGAAATTTGACCAGATTTCCCAGGTTTGGCCGCAATGCTCGGCTGCAGCTCGCCAGGGGAACGGGCTCCTCTACTTATGAGTGGTTTAAAATTTGGGGTACGTTAACCAGAGGTGAATAGGGTGGACCTGGTGCTTTTACATCAGCTGTGCCTTCTGCTGGAGAAAATACACGGGTCATTTGGCAAAGCAGCAGGATTGGGAAAGGAGAGGGGATGGGGTCTCACTGCAGGTCCTGGGGCACCAAGGGGCGGGCACAGCACCCCCAGCACAGCCCCAAGGTGAGGATGGAGCAGGGCCCTCCCCCTGCCCCGCCCCTCCCCAGCTGGGTCCACTTTGCCCCACAGCTGCGGGTCCTCAGTGCTCAGCCCGGCACCGCAGCCATGGGGTGCAGTGAGGATGTGGGGACCCGGCTCTGCAGGTACAGGGGGGTTTGTGGGGTGTCCGGGTGGGTTCTTTGTCGTGAGGGGTTGTGAGGCTGGGGGCAGAGGCCCCCCCATTTGTCTGGTCCATGTTGCGGTTCGGGTGCTGGATTTGTTGGGGTGGGGGAGTCTTTGTGGTTTGGAAACCAGCGAGGAGCTGGGAGATGAGATCTGCAGCAGCCTGGCGAGGGCTGAACTCACTGGATGGGTTACTGGGGGTAGAGGTTACACAGCCGTGCAAGGGGAACGAGGAGCAGGAACTGCTGGGGGTGTTGGAGAGCCCTCGTGTTTGTCCATGGGGCCAGCAGCTTCCCCTGTGCC